GTTATTAGCAACACCGAGCTGTTAAACGACTATTCAGAGGACTCTCTGTTTCTAAAACAGAGTTTATTACAGGCAGGTGAAGTTCCTGCTTTTTTACTGGAGAGGAAACGTCCTGAGTACAAATACTCATCAAAGGTAAGATGTTTTTTTTATTTATTTCTGATCAGGTAAGAAATAAAATTTTGAGTCAAACCTGAATATCCAGTTTAACTCATAAAATCCCAACATCTCTCTAAATATAGAGTCTAATTAGAGCCAATTAAAAGCAGAGAACAGTCAGATCCTCCATATTCATGCAGAGTCACACCTAAACCAGCTGGAGGGGGGAAGTTTCTTTTTTTATAAATCTCTTTTTATTAAACACAAAAGTTACGGTTAAATTCTTGGCTCAAGATATAGATTTTGGTGTTTTAAACATTTCAAATTGCACCCCCCACCCCTCAGAACTACTGTGCGTCTACCCACAAGATCAATAAGCAATAAAACATAAGTGAGTCATTTATATACACATATCCTGTACATCTTAGACCATAAAGAAAAGGAAAGACAAAAAAAAGTAGTTATCATGACAAATACAAATACAACCAAGGACTAGTAAACAACATTAACCATATATATGCACATGTGTACATATGTTCCTATCATACATAACAAAGGGGGACAGAATAGCCTTAATTATTTAACTTCTGCAGGTCTTGGCCATCAGATTTCGATGGTTTACTTTTAGGGATTCTCAGGAAGTGTCTTGAGCTTTTCAAAATATTTTATCAATGGATTCCAAATACCATAAAAACTATCTTTGCATCCTCTTGAGGGGGGAGTTTCTGTTCAGATGGAGTGAGTATTAACTCCTAAAACTTCCCTATTTGGGGATGTGAACCCCACTGGAGAGGGTTTGACACAACCAGAATCAGAAATACTTGAATAATCCCATATCTGCAGATATAATATATATATAATAATATGTGAATCAGTTGATATAAGTTTAGAGAGCTTAAAAATTATGAAAATGATGAAAAAACAAATTAATATAGTTTTAAAGT